AAATGAGACTGAATCTTCCGCTTGAACATGGAAAGATACATTGCCATATATGGGCCTTGCTGCACTACTCTGGAAATGTGCAAAACAAGAGTGAATCTTGCGCTAGAATATGGAAAGATACACCACCAATATTTTTGTCTTGTTGTGCATGTCGAGAGTTGTGCAGCGAGCCCGTTGGTGAACATTACCATTGAGGTTCCGGGCTTCACTCGTGCAAAGAATTTCTGATGTTCTTCCTTTACGTTTCTTTCTTTTTATTAAAAAAAAAAATTCCAGGAAAAACGGCTGTCAGTTCCGTCGTTTTCTACTTCAAAAGTAATAAGAAGAGATCGTTTTGAGAGATCGCGACCCTCATCACGACTGAATCTGGTCTGCAAGAACCCTACCATACAGACTGCACTTACCGTTGAGGTTCTGACAGGTTGGACGCGCCGGGCAACACTCATGCAAAGAAATTCTGATTTTCTTCCCTTACATTTTTTTCTTTTTATTAAAAAAAAAATTCCAGGAAAAACGGTTGTCAGTTCCGTCGTTTTCTACTTCAGAAGTAATAAGAAGAGAACGTTTTGAGAGATCGCGCCCCTCATCATGACTGAATCTGGCCTGCAAGAGCCCTACCATACAGACTGCAATACACACAGAGTGTTACCCCGGCTACAGGTTACTAAAAGCTTTCAGGCCAACGCGCGGCCTTCAAAAAAATTTTGGCTGCCCGTTTCTTATTTTACGCGAGCAGGGGGCCGGGTCTACTACCGCCCCTCACAACTCTCTTTTTTTTTTTTTTTTGACCTCCATTTTTGGAGGTGCGCCGCATGCAGTGCGGCGCATGTGTGCAGTACAGCGCATCGCGATGCGCCGCAAGTATGCTTCAAAATTTATAGGCGTGTAGGCTACATCGTAGAGAACTCACAAAAAAAAATTCAGAAAAAAAAAGTTATTTTTAGGCCCCGAAACATTTTTTGGCAGGGGCCGAACCTGGAGGTGTTCGGCCCCCGAACGGGACCCCGAACGCGGGCCCCCGAACGTTCGGTCAGGGACCCCGAATGTTACCAGAGTCCCCTGGCCCGGGCGAACTTGCACGCACCCGCCCGGGGTACCCGGGTGACACCAAAGAGGGGGTCAATTTCTTTTATTTTATTTTTTTTCAAAGGAAAAAGCAAGGGCCCAAAAGGCAACCAGACTCGACAACATGTCACCACTCTGTCTGTTTGCTCAGGGGGGGGAGGGAGAGGGGGGGGGGACGTGAGTGGTGGATGTAAAAATTTATAAAACACAAAAAGGCTTTGAAAAGAGAGAAAAGTAGAAAAAGTGAGTGACGCATGTTATAGGCAGCTTTCAGGCACTGCAACCCAGAAATAGCTGATGAGAAAGTTGAGGCTGACCTGACATCCTCCAACTCCTGCTCCAAGCTGAGAATCAAAGCTTTCGAATTTCTCAATTGGATCCTCAAATCCTCTGCGATCCTCGTCTGAAACAAGAAAATAGACAATTTTGTCACGATTGAAAGAAGGGGTGCCAAGCAAACAAGAGCTGTGTCAGATAATCTCTACGCAAAATAAATAAATAGCTGGAAGACTCTTTGGCTGACTATTCTCCATGAGCTGTCATTGCTGTGAAAGACAATTTCTCAAGTTCTCAACTAAATAGCCGGAACGCTCTTTCCCTGGTTATCCTATGTTGCTGCCTTTGACAATTTCTCCACTGAATAGACGGGACCGAAGACTATTTGTCCATGTGCTGTCGTTGCTGTAAAAGAAAACTTATCCACTGTATAGCTGGAAGACTCTTCCCTGGTTATCCTATTGTTCTTTGGTTTACGCTAAATTCTCTTTTGATCTCCTGTGTGACCATGTGCTCGCATAGGATAGCCGGGCAGATTCTTCCGGCCATTCGGTGGAGAAATCGTCTTGCGCAGCAGAGGCTAGCCAGGCAAAGAGTCTTCTGGCTATTCGGTGGAGAAATTGTCTTTTCAGCAATGGCGACATGGAATAGCCAGCCTTTGTCAGGCAAGAAGTCTTCCAGCTATTCGTTCAAGAAATTGTCTTAAGCAGCATAGGATAGCCACACAACTAGTCGTCCGCCTATCCGGTGCAGAAATTGTCTTACACATCATACGATAGAGAGGCAAATAGTCTCCAGGGCAAACTTCATGCATCACTCCTCTGTATAACACCGACTCTTTGCCTTAGACCAGTTCTCCAGTAACTAGCTGGAAGACTCTCTGTCTGGCTATTCTGTGCTGAAGATGACAATTTCTCCACAGAAAAGCTGCAAGACTCTTTGTCTGGCTATTCTATGCTTAGCCAAGATACCTTCTTTTCACTTGGAAAGGGGGGGTGGGGGGAGGAGCCTGCCTTCGTCTGCTTCATGATCTTTTTTAGTTGAAGACCAGGGTAGTTTTGGCGCCTACCGCTGGTGCCTACCGTAGGCAGTAGTGCCACCTACCAGTGGGGCCGACCCGTAGGCGGACCCGTCGGCGGTCGGCAGACTGCCTTGCAATTTTTTTCTTTTTTTTTCTCATTACATGGTGGTGCGCAGCTTGTGGAGAGCAGCCCAAATCCGCAATAATTTTTTGGGGGTCGTGGGGGTTATAGGGGGAGGTATAGGGGGTTATAGGGGGGTTGTGGGGGGTTAAGGGGGGGGGGATGAGGGTGTTAGGGGGCGGTATGGGGGTGTTGGGGGGGTGTATGGGGGGGGCATATATATATATATATAGTCAAACAGAGCTGCCCGGTAAACCATAGGCAGAGAGGGAGAAGAGGACAAAAAACGAGGGGCTGTGACAAACTGTTATATATCTATTTGACGATATATATCTGTATATCTTCAAACAGAGCTGCCCGGTAAACCGTAGGCAGAGAGGGAGAAGAGGACAGAAAAAGAGGGGCTGTGACAAAATGTTTCTTCGGAGTTCCACCGACCCCTTTTTTTTTTTTTTTTTTTTTTTTGGCGGGGTGTCGACCGACTCCCGACCGGTAGGTGCCGACCAGTCCGACGGTCAGCCAGTCGGCCCCCAACCAATCCAGGGGCGCCGACCGTCGGCGTGACTACTCTGTGTGAGACCTAAAATGGGCCACAGTACCACAGTAACCACACGCATTGTAATCATTCTCCCTCGGGTCCTGTCTCATGCAGCAGCCTTCAGGAATAACAATGCAATTTAATGAATGCAAAAGTTCAGCAAAACTCACCACAAAAAAATGATTCACTGAGAAAATCAAGAAACATGACGAAACGGATCTGAGGGCTCAGTGGAAAGCAGCAAGGAAGCAAATACGTTTCCGACCGGAGCAAGAGGAAGAGATGACGAAACGCTTCAATCACAACATTCTGGGCCAGGGAGCGGTGGCAACTATAAGTGGTAGTAATTTAAAGTTCAAATGGAGAGGGGCTTAAAAGGGTGCAAAGGAATATAAGTTAAGGGCTTAGGGTTTACGGGGAAAACGAAAGTTAAAAAAAAAAAGAAAAAAAAAAAAGAAAAAAAAAGAAAAAAAAAAAAAAGAAAAGAAGAAGAAGAAGAAAAAGGAAGGGATTCAGGGTTATGATTCGAAGAAAGGGTTTAGGGGTTGAGGTTCATAGTCGGGTGAAAACAGACAGAGTTTTTAGGGTAAAGGAGTGGAAAGATCTACCTCGTCGTTTTGGAATCAGTAAATCACGTTTGCAGTAAGACAGAGGGTTAAGGGTTTAGGGCCTTAGACAGAAACAATGCAAATTATGTAATAGTGTTATACAGACTTCAAAGCGCTCATAAGTGTTCCAGAAAGCTCTTGCATAACCATATCTAGCCGACAGCTTCATAACTGAGAGGAGCAGATCTGGGATCAGACAGATTGGCAGGCAGAATTAGCACAGGCCAGATTAGGCAGGGGTGAGAGGGGGTATATCCTTCCTCAGGGAAGTAATCAATGCCGTCCTCTCAGGCCTCTCAGCCATAATGGGGAGGAGCGTGGGTGAGTCTTTTATGTATTCCATTTTGACTTGCCGGGGGAATAGGAACCGGACTATCGCTCCCCAGAATGGTACGAGCCAGAACCGTGAGGTTCTGTTAAAAAAAAAAAAGAAAAAAAAAGAAAAAGAAAAAAAAAGAAACATGATCTTTATCTCTAATACCTTAAAGCAAAACGCGGGTCTCGCGTGACGGGCCCACGCGAGACACCGCTCCCGGTGCCCGGGTCCCACACGCGAGACCCGGTTCGTTCTTGAAGGCGCGCCCGCGCCTCGATTCCGTAGTTTGACGCACACCGGTCCCGGTGGGAGGGGTGGACGCGGTCATTCGGTCGCCCTGCCTTTCGTCGGGTTCCGTGGAGGAGTCGGTCGCCGGGCGGTCGGGGGGTGTACGGGGACGGGGGGTGCACGGGGACGCAGGGCAAGGGCGGGTTCATGCGGGTTGGGTTTTTAGGCGAGCTGCGCTGCATGTCCGGGGTGTACGGCGACGCAGCGTGTGGTGGGTCGTCGGCAGCGGGGGAGTTGTGCTCCGCGGCAGGTAGTGAACATGGGTGCTCTCTCTCTCTCTCTCTCTCTCTCTCTCTCTCTCTCTCTCTCTCTCTCTCTCTCTCTCTCTCT